TTTCCTTTCGTTCAACATCATAATTAACATCTTTTACAAACAAAAAATACAAATGAAAAATTTTTATTTTCTTAAACAAACCAGTTTTTGGTGCAACAAGTAAATAAAAGCCATCAAAGTCAATTTTCGTTGGATGTGTATATAAATGTTTCCATGGAATATGAATTTGAAGTTTTTCTATATAATTAAATAAAGATTTATTTTAATAATTTCATATATATAACTCACCAAGATAGCCAGTTATTATTTCAAGTGGAACATTAAAGTCACTCTGAAACAAAATTATTTATTTTATTTCGAAATATAAAATTTCAATTTACGAGTGCATTGGTTTTTAAATGAACATTTTCAAGAATAATATCACCTTAAACGAAAATAATTTAATCAGATTGATGTAAATAAATGTCATACCAGCCCATAAATGAATTTTTAATTGATGAGAATCGAAATCTTCGATATAATTTCCCAAAAATTTATCAATAAAAAATGCTGCCAAATGTTCGAATACCATTATTAATATTTACAATTTTATCTTAAATATAAACATTTACTTTTTCCTGTAACAATTTTATTGAACGAACAAAAAGAAGATTTGATTTTCAAAGATGTCCCAATTTAATTTAATTTTAAATCAATCAAACAGATATCATTATGAACATAAAAAAGAGTCACGTTAATATAACACGCGACGGATAAATATTATAACATTTACTTACTTTCCTCTGATCATTTATCTTTATCGAAATATCAAACAAGAATTTTATTTTATGTCTTCTATATAATACTTTTGAATGTTTTAACAGTGACTAGAGGTGTAAGCCGAAGGGTCAAACAGCGGCGGCGGTTGCTGCTATACTTTATGCTTTTCTGCATCGACGGCGGCTTTGGCACCCGAAAAAAAAAACGTATTTGCTCTTAAAAGACGAAAAAATGATCGATCGCATATGTATCGATGTCAACGGCGGCGGTGCCTTATACTATTATAAAAAATTTTCGTTCGAGGCGGCGGCGCAGCGGCTGAACTTACTTTTTCACAGCAGCGGCTCCTAAAAAATTCTTAAAATTATCTACGATTCCGTGGCGGCGGCGGTTCAGCAGTACGGCTTACAGCTCTAACAGTGACTATTGCTGTTATACAAAGATGAACAAGTATTTACTCAATCTGGACTATATACAGATTGCGGCACGTGTAGTATTTTTTTTTCTTTCTGTTCGTTACTTATTGACAGTCAGACGAAGAGAAAATCTTCTAAGATAGAAAGAAAAAGCGTTTTTTTTGTTCTATCAATCATAAACATTAAAGAGAATAAAAAGACGTAGTTTATTACACGTGTTTATCAATGTTTTACGAAGATTTATTTAAATACTTTTATAATATTATTTACTTGAAACAATTCAATTCATTTACTAGAAAAAATCAGATATATCATTTTTCTAAAATATCTATCATAATCATGCTAAAAAGTGTCAGATTGTTTTTTTTCTAGTAAAATATTTCTAGAAGTCTAGATTTGAAATATATTCTAAGGTTGAGATGAAATTTAAATAATTATCTATGATTTAAGGGTGTGTGTGTGGTTGTGGGGTGGGTGTGGCTGTGGGTGTGGGTGTGGTTGTGGGGTGCGTGTGGCTGTGGGTGTGGGTGTGGTTGTGAGTGTCATCTTCCGTACACCATACCCACAACCACACCCACCCACACCCACCCACACCCACACCCACCAACACCCACACCCACCCACACCCACCCACACCCACACCCACCAACACCCACACCCACACTCACACCCACACTCATACACCCACACTCATACACCCACACTCACACACCCACACCAACAACCACACTCACACACCCACACCAACCCACACCGTCCCACACCCACCCACACTCACCCACCCACACCCACACCAGGCTTGCCGATTAGGGGGGGATTTTCCCCACCAAAAATTGAAAACACGCCCGAATTTCCGCCAAAATTTCCGACACTTTCTGCTAAATTTTGAAAAGTCTTATTGTAAATTCTGGCAGAAAACTAGTTTTTAATCACTTTTTTGCCATTTTTCTGGCAGAAAATCGAATAAAAACACTTTTTTTTCAAGAAAATCTCGCAGAAAGTCGACGAAATTAGTATTATTTGTTCGGTTGCTAGCAGCAGGTAAAATGAGGTACTTTCTGCCGAAATTTCACGACTTTCTGGCGAATTTTTTGCCCCTGCCACATTTCAAAACAATCGACAACCCTGACCCACACCCACACACAATTTAATCCTGATTAAATTTCAGTATGAAAATTGCTTTACAAACGATCAACAAATATGAAACAAAAAGCAATCGGTCTAATTCTTTATTGAAAATTATTCGAGAATAACTTTTCACACTATCAGTCAAAATCTACGATGTTGAAACTGTTCGAAACAAATAGGATAGTGTATGCTCATCCTGATTAAATCCATGGTGAACTCCAGATTATCGATAGAAGGAGAAGTTAACAATGGATGTGCAAATCTCTATTATAGGCATGTGTAGGATAAGGACTAGAAAATTTCTCATTTAGGGTACACAATATGAGAAAAGCTTACCTTGCACATCAGTATCCTGCGACTATTTTGTTATTTATCATGTTTAGAATTAATATGAACAGGATACACTTAAAAGAGAGCGACATGAAAACTTCGTAGGGTAGGCTATTGAGCCGATCGGATTCTGTTCGTCTGAGATATGTGTGAAGCATGCCAGTCATCAAATGGAGAAAAAATACGAAAAGAGGTGCATTGCATCTTTGAGGTGAGTATGGGATTCTGAGGAGAGATATTACCTCGTTCAAGGCATGATTTACAGAAAAAGCTTAATATGCTCATCTCTACTTCATGAAATATATTAATCGTATTAATTAATGATTGCTAATAAAGGGTGTTTCATAAGTTTCGACCCCCTTTTTGTTTTTGTCATAACTTTCTCATATTCCATCTTAGACTGATTTTGAAGATAGATTTTGGAAGAGCAGCATCTAAGTTTTCAAACAAAAAAAGATATTCCATTACCATGAATTGCACGGAAGAACGAGGTCAAACAAAATTTTGAAAAATTTTCAGGACATGCATTTTTTGCTTCTTGCATATTAGATGTGTATTTTAACAAATATAAAAACGAGAAATACATCTGGTTTAGTATTAAAATCAGTAAGATCAATAACGCTAACTATCGTATTCGATAAAAAAATAGTCAAAAATCACTCTTAAGAACTCATCGACCATCCTGTTTGATCACTGCTTGTAATCTTTTTGGTATACTCGACATCATTCGAAAACATAAGCTGATGTCAAAATTCTTCCAAATTTTCATGATTTCTGTTTTGACGTGAGATAAATCTTGATAATCCTTTTTCATTAACTTCGTTCGAATTATAGACCAAACGCTTTCCATAGGCATGATTCGATCGGAGATATTTTTTTCAATAAATTCCAATACATCTTTCGAATGATGAATTGAATCACAATCATCTTGATAAATATAATCATTATTAGGATAAATTTGTTCAATAGAAGGTATTATCCTTTCCTGCAATAAATCAATATATCTTTGACCGTTCAATGTTCTTTTTTTATTACGATCCCATTGATATTCATCCAAAAATTCATCGATAAAGATTGGCCCATCTTTTGGTATTAATGCACGGCTACTAATGGCTCCCCACATTATAAGGCCTTTGGTAAATTTGTCTACAGGTAATTCTAATAGTTCACGTGGTATCGTATCACGGCTTGTACCATACACCACGTTATTTTTCATATTATATACAATAGTCAATCCAATCTTGCCAGAATAATCAGAATTAACAACTTGATGCCATAAGAATCTTTTCGATCGTAGTCGTCCCCCATATTTACGTAGCAAAATTCTTGCACTTTGAATTCGATTTATGACGTTATTATCAGTCATCTTGGATGATTTAAACTTGCGAAATGGTTTTAATTTAAGATCATTTTTAATGGGTGTGGGTGTGGGTGTGGGTGGGTATGAGTGCGGAATGTAGATGAGAAGAATACCCACATCAGTCGCGTAGCCAGGAACTCTTGAGTTATGGGTAATTCAGCAGCTAAACTATTTTGAGTTACGGGCAGCGAAGGGCAACCCTGATGATTTCAAAAATATTTGTGGGCAATAACTGTTCAAGCACTGCATAGCTGAATAAATCTGTGCGCAATAACTTTTGGAGCTATGGGCAATTGCCCAATGGCCCTACCCCTGGCTACGCCACTGACTCACACCCACACCCACACCCACACCCACACCCACACCCACACCCACCCACACTCACACCCACAC